GACCCCTGTTCACCCAGAGAATGACACTAAACCTCTAGGATCTCCAGCCAAACTGCCTCCAATCTGGCCCGAGAGCAACTGGCTGTGTGCTGCTTCCTTTTGGCCAGTCTCTCCTATTTCCTGCTTCAGAGGAGAGAAAGAAAGCCTTCCCTCGGTTGGCTGAGGGCTCCTCCCCCCTCCTGCTCCTCTGGGGGGGGAGGGAAGGAGCCAGAAAGAGGGGGGGAATGGCATCTCGTGGGACTTTTAGGAAGACCAGCAACATTTAATTCCAGGTATAAGCACACTTTCTTCAGAGAGAGGGAGGGAGGGACAGAGGGAGCACGCCAGAAAAAGAGAGAGAGTCCTATGTTAAGACCAAGGATGTTTATTCCAGGAGAGAGAGAGAGAGAGAGAAATCTGTATTTAAGACCAAAAAATGTTTTATTCGAGGTATGATAAAGAGAGAGAACTATGTTTAGGACCAAAAAAACCCCCCCATTTTATTCCAGGTATGACAGAGAGTCCTGTGTTTAAGACCAAAAAAGTTTTATTCAAGGTATAAGCTTTTGTGGGCAAGCCAGAGAGATGGGGGAACCCCCCCTTTCCATTTCTAACAGATATGGGGGGAGAAACCTAACAGCACAGCTTACATTCGTTATTAGTGAAAGGGAGCATTGGTAATGAAAGAAGAAACCTAGGTCTCCATTGAGTCCAGGAGTTTGCATTGTCTTGAGCTTCATGATCAGTTGCAATTCAGCAGTCTCTCTTTCTAATCTCCCTTTGAAATTCATTTGTAACAGAACTGCTACTCTTAGATCAGCAACTGAATGCCCTCGAAGGTTAAAATGTTCCCCCACTGGTTTTTTAATCTTGTGGTTTCTAATAGTAGTAGAAAGAGTAACAATTCAGTAGCACCTTTAAAGATTAACAAAATTGTGGGTAGGGTATGTGCTTTTGTGAGTCTCTGCTCACTTCTTCAGACTTATTTTCATTTATTCTTTGCATCCTCCTGGACTGAATCCTCTTGTAACAATTTGAGACCTAGATTTTCTGTCTCATTACCAATGCTGATATCTCCACCCCTCTTGCATATCACACCAATGCTGATAACTCCACCACTCTGCATATCACACGTAATCCAGTCACACCTGTTATTGCCATTCAGCATCTGAAATAATCTTTATAAAGTTTATATACCTTGTGTTACATTTTATAGCACACATGGCCCAGCCCGACAAAGTGACATTTATGTCCGATCTGGCCCTCGTAACATATGAGTTCAACACCTCTGATATAAGGATTTCTTTTTTGAAAATTTTCAAGGGCGCAAGAGTCCGCTAAATCCCTTTTTTCCCTTCTCCCTGCCAGTACTCTGTTTACCAAGTCTACTGTCTCTGGGAAATCATGCAGAATATTGTCAATCACCTAGCTCAGGCTGTTCCATAATGTCGAGAAAGAGCTCCGTTGACTCCTGCCACTATGTGCATGATCTCATAATCCTTTGGTGTGATCATATGTTTGGGGTTGGGGGAGGAGTGGGAAGGGAGAAAAATACCTGTTTCCTGTTCTGCTAGCCCATCTGTATATACACTGACTGAAATGGCCACTGTCCCTATAGTGGCTCAGATAGCTTGAAGCCGGTATTGTTTTATTGGGACACTGGATCCTTAGCGCCAGCCCAGAAACAGCTTTTGAAATTGTATGGGCAGCCAAGTGATAGCCTTCCCTGGTCAGAGGGAGGGCTGGCACACTCTTAGTGCAGTATGTCCTCTCATTTTGCTTCATGCAGGCTGCGGGTCCCAGGATTTTGTTGCACACCGAAATATAACAGCAAGTGAGGTAGTGAGAAAATGCTGAGACTCTTTTAAAGCTAGGAAATCTCTAGCAGGTTTGGTTTTTATTTTGTGCATGTTGTGAAAAGCAATGGAAGCCAAGCAAAGGATCCAAAGACAGTTGCACCTGGGCAAAATGTGCTCAGAAGAAAATCATTTCTATAATAACAGAAGGGAATTGCCTAACTTGAGAAGGTTTTACAGAGTGGGAGCAAGGAGACCATAAGAGCAAAAGGACTAAACAGAGTCATTCCAGAAAATGAGAGAGAGTCCATGGATTGCCTATAGCCCTTTTTATTCAGGGGGAAAAGTGTGTGCCTTGTTAATGTATGCATCTTTGGTGCAAGTGTCTGTCTGCCTTCTTGGGAATTCACATTATAGTTTCCTAATGCCTGGTCTTGGTGCAGCATATTTGCTAACCCTAGCCGCCCTGAGCCCTCGGGGTAGGGTGGGATATAAATCCAAAGATAAATAAAATAAAAGATAATGGTGTATCAAATATGTCTGCCCCAGGAACATGTCCTGGGAAACTATCATGTGAATCCCATTTGTTAAACAGGTTAGCAACCTGTCCTGGTTCAGATGCATCACAGAAATATACACGTTTTCTGCCGCAGCAGTTAATTTCTGTGTTGGGGATAAAAGCATAACCCTTCTCTAAGGAGCCTCAGTCTGCCCTGTATGGGATTTTCCAGTCTAAGAGCCACTATCAAGTCTTGTTAGTGGTGTAGAAGGAGGATCTGAATGGAGGTTGAAATAGCCAGGAGCAAGTCTAAGCAGGTCTACTTGGAAGTAAGTCCCATTCTATTCATTGGGGCCTGTTCGCAGACAAGTATTTTTAGGCCTTGCTGTTCTAACTCTGCTCAAAACCTCTGGGAGAGGTTTTTTTAAAAGTCTTGTGGGGACTACAAACAGCTGTATGGAACGCAATCCATTCTGTTAGAGAGACTTGCCTGCACTCTGGCAACTTCCATGGCCCCATGTTAACCACATGCACTTACTGTTTGTTGCAAGCAGATTTTTTCCTTGCTTAATAGTATGAGGAAAGCATGCCAGTGCTTTGCCTGCCAGGATTTTTGCGTTAAAGCCCGTCAGCATATTTTGTGAGGCAGCGTGATGTAGTGGTTAGAGCAGTGGTACTTTGTCACAGTCACAATTACAATCTATCAAAAGAGCCACATGACTCCTGTATGTCCTGTATGCTGTTCCACCTAACATACAATAGGTATAACTGTCTGTAAATATTAACCATGTAACTGTAACTAAACCCTTTTAGTTACCAGAATACTTCTGCACATGTAGGATTGTCTCTCCCCACTACTGTTGAGCCTTAGCCAGCCCTTGTGTATCTTCCCTCTCTGCCTCCCCACTCTTGTCTCAGCATAAGGGACACCAGGTCGGGAGAGAGAGTGATACTGCCGGGGTGCCCAGGGCAGCACCAGCTGGCCTTGGAAAAGGGGGAGTAAAACCACTGACTCGTTGTGGCCAACTTGATCTTTTCCTGGTGGTGTGGAGGTGCTGGTTTTATTCTGTCTTCTCTGTGGCCTTCTTGCTCTGCTCCCATCAGTCACCAGGGTGCTGGGAGTGCAGAGGCTACCAAGAAGGGTGTTGGGAGGGGGCACTTTACATCCATCCCAGGCATTTGGCCCATAGCTCAGGGAGGCTCAAAGCCTACCCATCCTCCAGTTCCTCTGGCAGCAGCTGTTCAAAGATGAGAACCACCAGCCAACCACAAGCCCTACCAGCCGTGGCCTTTCCTTGAACATGGAGTGTGTGCCACAGTGGATAATTGTGCTCAGAAGAGCCACAGGCGACATGTCAAAGAACTACATGTGGTTCCCGAGCCGCTGGGTGAATGTCTCTGGGTTAGAGTGCCTGAATAGAATCTGGGATACCCAGGTTCAAATCTATACTCTGCCATGGAAGTTTGTTGGGTGACCTTGGGTCAGTCAAACACTTGCGGCCTAACCTACTTCACATGGTTGTTGTTCGGATAAAATGGAGAAGGGAGAATATTATAAATGCCTTGGGGGAGAAAAGTGGGAGATAAATGAAGGAAATGAAAATAAATGACTATGTGGGCTACTGAACGCCATCCATACCTAAATACTGGCCAGAGGAGGTCTTTGTATGTTTGTCTAGAGCAGTATTGTGCTGGAGGCAGCAGTTTTAATGCAGCCACTGACAAATGTTATCTAGAGCCCTTTTCTTTCACACACTGACTGTTGCAGCTGCTGAGGTGAAGAAAGTAAGCAGTCCAGTGACTTGGGACGGATGGCAAGGAATCCAGTGGCACCAGGGCTGTGAGGCAGGGGTGGAGCAGCCAAAGCAGGATTGCTCTGGAAGACTTGTAAGACCACAAGCCCCAATACTTTGCAAGATGTCTGGGAAGGAAATGCAGCATCTTTAAAACTTTCCCCCAAAATTCAAGGCTTACAGTGCACATCAGAGTTCACAGACTGCAGACCTTTGAAGTGTTTACGTGCTTCACAATGATGAGCACTTTCTTCAAAAAATTCCGGTGGCCTTTTCCAATTAATGTGCCTAACTGAATGTTACAGGGAATGTGTGGTGGCAGTTGCTGTCGCTTATCTTTCCAGGAATCAGGAATGTTTGGTAAAAGAAATGTGATATCATTGCATTTAGTGTTTTCCTACACTCATTTCCACTTGGAAAGGGAAATGCTAGATGTGACAACATCATGTGTACTAGGCCTTAAAGTGGCATGAGCTTGCTAGGATTTTCAGACTCCTTGGTTACTGGGGACAATGGAGAATGAGTGAGTTAAATGAGAGAGCAGAGTACACATTAAGCAGCTGTGTGGTTCTTTCTCCCTGCATCAGGGAAATCCAAGTGAATGTATCCCTGACAGAGAGAATGATGATCATACTACGACTGAGATCCAGGGCACTTCCCTTTCCCTTCTCTTCTTTAACCATTACTCCCAACTGCTCCCCTTTAACCCTTTCCTGTTGTGGCACTGGCATCTGTGGCAGCAAAAGCAACAGATGGACTTAGCTGTTGGAACCCTCTGAATAGCCATCTTTTTTCTGATGCACACAGACAATAGCTTGCGGGTGTGTAAGGGGGGGTGAAGCAGCAAGTCTGGAGGCTGGAGTGAGGGGGAGGGACGGGGACCCCTCTGTGCCATGCGCTACAGCTACAGGGCCGCTTTGTTCTTTTCCTCAGGACACTCTGAACAACAACTCTCTGGGGAAAAAGCACAGTTGGCAGGAACGAGTGTCCCGGTCATCATCCCCACTGAAAACTGGTGAGTTCATCTCCCTGCAGAGGCTGGTTCCTTGTCTATCATTCCTCCCTCCCTTTTTTGCATGCTGTTAGTTTCTCTGGCATTTGGACCTCAGCTCTACAGCTTACTTTGGCCTGCATCTTGAGATGGATGCTGAAGTTTTATTAATTGGCTGGTGGGAAGCAAGCCATTTAGGAATTGACTTTTCCTGCCTGCACACTTTCACCCAAGGATTCTTTTTTTTACCTCACCTCAGCCAGCATAGTGACTCTTGTTGCATCAATTCAACTGATTCAGTAGCTACGGTATTAGACTGGGCTTCAAGTCAGCAGTGAAACTCCATAGGTGGTCTTGAAAATACAGAAAAATTGAAATAATGAAATCATTTAAGACACTACCTGTAAAAGAACAGAAGGCTATTACTAACAGATTGGATGCTCTGAGGAAAAAAATATTAGAAATGGAAATCCCTTCAATGGAAATAGAGGCTCCTTTGAAAAGTCCTTCAAAGGATAGAAAAGAGCCTAAACAAATAGCCAACCATAGGTGGTCTGGGACAAGACACTGTACCTCAGAGGGTTGCTGTGAGGATCACATGGGGATGGGGAACCACATACATCATCTTTGAGCTTCATAATAATATTTGGGCTGATGTAGCAGCCCCTCAGTTCCCAGAGACTAGTTCATGGTCTTGTAGTCCCCTCTTGGGCCTGCTGTTCCACAAGTTGGCCTTTCTGATGTGAAGATTTTCTGGTAACTTTGAAATGTGAGTGGTGGTACATAAGAATCAGAACATTAAGGAAGGAGTTGGTCAGCCACACATTTGTTGGCTGGCACCATATGTTAATAATTATACTAAGCATTCATATAGCAGTTTCAGTGTACATAGCACTTCACATACATGAGAGGGTTTTCTGTTTAAGTGGGTGACGTGATGTCTTATTAATGAGACAACTCCTTTCATCCCCTTACATTCATCCCTTGGGTGGTGAACTTCAAGTAACTGTTTTTGCTGCAGCTTTGAGTAAACTTCAAGAAATGTTAGAAGGTACTGTTATTCTTCCTTTTCTTTGCCTTTAGTATGTACTTTGTTCTTTGCCCACCCACAGGTGAGCAGACCCCTACCCATGACCACGTTTGCCTGAGTGATGAAGTCACTCACCAAAACAGCACAACTTCCACCAAAGATCGGGGCACATCAACAGAGAGCCCGTGCCGGCGTACGACAGCCACACAGATTGCACCTGCGTGTATTGCATCTTCCCGCCCCCCTGAGAAACAGCAGGCTACTAGTCGTCCCCCACCACAGAACCCTACAGTTGTGGTAGTGACAAGGGGGACAGAAGCCTATCGGGACCGCATTCGCTACCAGACTGATGTGAGATTGGAGGCTACTGAGGAGATTTACCTAACACCAGTACAAAAGAATTCTGACCCTCTGGAGTCTGAGAAGCCATTTATGTCGCAGTCCAGTGACAACCGCATGTCTATCAGCTCTGATATAGACACTTCTAGCTACCCACAACTGACAGGAAAGCCCAATGCCTCAATCAGTGAGGAGGATGAGGTCCTGGACTACTTGTCTTCCCCTGAAAAAATGAATGCACCAAGGACTGCATATGGGAGCAGCAATGGTGGCTACCGATCTTGCCACGGCCTCCATAGGGCGTCAGTGAGCTCTGACACCAGTGCCCTCTCCTACGATTCCGTGAAATACACACTAGTGGTAGATGAGGATGTGCAGCTGGAACTTGTTAGCCTGAAACAGTGCTACTCGGGGTACAGTGATGAGAGTGATTCAGCCACTGTCTATGACAACTGTGTCTCTTCACCCTATGAATCGGCCATTGGGGAGGAATATGAAGAGGATGCGCTGAAACGTGACTCTGTCTGTCTCTCTGAGGATTCCACCCCTGAGGCAGACATCCACTTCTCCAAGAAGTTCCTCAACGTCTTCATGAGTGGCCGGTCACGCTCCTCCAGTGAGTGTGGGGCAGGAGGGGTCCTATGTAGCAATGGAGGGAACTGAAGGAGAGGGAAGGTCACGCTGCAAGGTGATGATAGTTTCTGTTGGTGTAGTGCAGGACTTGACAAGGTTGTGGGTCAGTGTCAGCAAGATGGTGCCATGACAAACAGTCTCCTGATGTCCAAAAGTGTCATCAGACCTCAGGGCAATTTGAATGCATCGTGCAAGAGAATGGCAAATTAGTTATAGGGTCTCCTGGACCCACTGCTGACGTCTTAGTTTAGAATGGAGATTGAAACAAATCCTTCCCAGTCATAACAGTGTATAGCTATGGCTTAGTGCTTTCTTGATCTTAATCAAACCCTGTTGGTTGCTAGAAATTCTTAAGAAGAGCAAGGATTTCTTCTTATTGGGTTTCTCTAGGTTGTTCATGTCTTGAGGTCTATGAAGAATGGAAAATAATGGCCTCAAAAACTGATATGTAGCACTTCTGAAAGGCTCACTGATGAAGTTGTTAGTATGGAAGCTTCTGCACTGATGTTGTTCTGAAAGCTTTGAAGAATTTTTCTTTTTTAGGATTTCCTACCTGATGGTTTCTCAGTGTTTCCTGTACCAAGTGAACCAATAGGGATGAAGACAGATGGTGCCTTTTAAGAGTGATAGGATACAGATTTGGTAGTGCATGTATTTCATTTGTTCCCCTGTGACCTCTGGCCTAACAGGTTTTGCATGCCTTTGAAAACCCTACAAATCCCTGCAAATCTGGTTATCAGTACTGATAGTGAGAGGAGTTTATAACAACGTGAAATAAATGTTGTCTGTCTCTTGCCCCTTGATCTGTTCCATAAAACGTTATTAGCTCAGTCAATTGATTGTTCTGGGGAAGTACCCCCAAGGCCAAAATATGTTATGCCTTGGAGACTGGCTTTTTCTATCATAGATTCTTGTACGCACCAGTCATGATGAAACACTGATATATTGTTGCCTCTGCTATATTTGTTTAGAAAGGGATTGTTGTATTAAGAAGGTACATATGATACCAAGTTCTGGATCCCTCTGGCCTCTGTGTGAAATGGTTTTTTTCCATGTCTGTTGCTGACAGCTGATGTGTCACCAGGTGCCCTCTCCACATTGATAAAAGGGTGTGATGAGATGGTAGAGTGAAAAGCTGTGATTGGTGGTATTTTAATTCAGAGCATGACATGACCTAATGTATTACCCCAGCTGGATATGTTGTGAAACAGGGGCTTCCATCAAAGTTCCATGGACCTAACAATAATACAGCAGAGCTTTGTTACTGAACAGGTCATAGGTATCTCTCCGGCACTTCTCTTTCTGTATCAGAAGATGTTTATTGCGTTAGCTTCCAGCCATAGCAAACATTTAAAAAAGAGTACAACATAACATAAAAACTATAGGAAACCATTAAAATCTAAATATCCATTAAAACTACTGATACTATTCAATTATATATACATAAAATACCCCATACAAATTATTACTGGATATCATTTATTCATATTCATATTCATTCATTAATTCATTAATCAAACCTAGCCAGATTTTCCTCCTATTAATGGCCATCCATCCATATTTCACCACCTTAAGGGTAATCTTTCTGTATCCCATTGTCTCATTGCCAGCCTGACTACCCATGGACTGGCCTATAAGGTTCTCTTTCCATCCTAATCATCCATCATGTGACATTAAGAAGCTGTCTGGTCAAGATCATTGTCTCGCATTTTTGGTGGCAAAAATGATTTTTTGAGGAAAGGGGCTATTTTGAGTCATTGAGCATTTTTCTTCTTTTGCATTCCCAGGTGCTGAATCTTTTGGGCTTTTCTCTTGCATTATCAATGGAGAAGAGCAGGAGCAGACTCACCGAGCTGTCTTCAGGTGAGTGCTTGTAAAACCTTCTGCTCCTAGTAGTATAGAGTCCTCATGTTCATCCAGCCATTGGAAAGTTCCCACTCATTTGCTGAATCGTTCCCTCACCACCTCAGTAGTAGAGAGGCTTAAGACCTTCTCAGTGGGCTGGATTTATAAAATCCCAGGCTGGGATAAACATAGCAAATCACATTTGGTCCTAGATTCAGGTGGGTAGCCATGTTGGTCTGAAGCAACAGAACAAAGTTTGAGTCCAGTGGCACCTTAAAGACCAGTTTGGAACCTGTAAAAGATCCTTGGTGAAACAGACATTGGGCAAAATAGGCAATGTGCATTATTTTATTTAAGAGGGTGTGTAGAACTAGCATAGAAATTACTTTTTGGAGCTGACTTACATAAATGTTTGTAACTCATGCATGCAGTCCCCCCCCTTCCCTGAGCAGAGAAACCCTGGAGGAACAGCTTGTGCAAGACCGCAGCAACCATGTTTGTGGGGGGAAATATCCACTTATTGATTCCCACATCCTGCTCAAAATAGTATCCTCTATGGTTTTTTATGAGTTGCTCTTGGGATGTTTCTTATCTGAGATGTGGAGCTATTTACTCAGTTAAGCCCTGACAAATAACACCTGGTTCATGAGCCTGGTCTTCTGAAATTCTAGCACAGATGTCTCTGGACAAATAGAGCTCAGACTGTTAACTTTCCAACTCTGACTACAGAATTTCCAACCAGTCCCTTTCTTTTAACTTTTGGGCAAGCTTGCAAAGGTTTCAGACTTGCAAAGTGCTGGTAACTTTCTTCACAGGTTTGTGCCTCGTCATGAAGATGAGCTGGAACTGGAGGTAGATGATCCTTTGCTGGTGGAAGTTCAGGCAGAAGATTATTGGTATGAGGCTTATAATATGAGGACAGGGGACCGGGGCATCTTCCCTGCTTACTATGCTATCGAGGTCACCAAGGATCCAGATCACATGACAGGTAGTGAGCCCCATTACAATCTCCTTGCACCCAACTGGGCCATCATTCCCATTTCTGTTCTGTGAGATCCAAGTTTACTTATACACCTCAGCTCTAGCTCCTCGGTGTCTACTGTAATTTCTTGTGACAAGATTGCCAGTTAAGACCAGTAAATGTGAGAGGAAAAGGGTTGTATACAAACTACCATTTATATGAAGAAGTCCATGGTGGCACTAGGACTCTCCCAATATGTAATGGCCCCCACTCATTGAGCCAGTCACATGCTTGATTTGATCTTCGCGGCGGGGGTCGCAGTGGACCAAATTACTGCCACGGCAGTTCCATGGTCGGACCACCATGCCCTGAAGGCCCAAGTGAATGTGTCATCCCAACCCTGTTTGGACGGTGAGCGTATTTTAGCTCGCCCACGGAGCCAGATGGACCCTTTGCAGCTTCAGATGGCCCTGTGGGATCCAATGCCCCCTGGCAGCTCATTGGATGAGCTAGTTGAGGATTGGCATGGCCAACTCTCGGCAGCCATCGACGAGATCATTCCCAGACGTCCTCTGCGCCCTCACTCAAGGCTGGCTCCTTGGTTTACTCAGGACCTGAGGCTGATGAAGCGAAGGCTTAGATGGCTAGAGAGACAGTGGCGGTGTGCTCATGATGAAGCAACAAGAGCATCCTATAGGACGTTTATGAGATCCTATGAGATGGCAGTCAAAGCTGCAAAGAGGGAGTTCTACGCAGCCACGATTACAGCTGCAAGCTCACGCCCGGCCCAATTGTATAGAACAATTCAGTCTTTAAAAGCTCTGCCACAGGGCAGACAAAATGCTAAGGAATTGGATATTGGCTATGAGGCTTTTGCAAGCTATTTTGCAGATAAAGACTTGTCGCTCCGCCAAGACCTCCCCACCAGAGTTGAAACAGTGAGTGAACTCAAGGCTCCATGCACGTCTTCTTGTCCGATTTTGGATTATTTTAGTCCACTCAGTCTAGAGGAAGTCGACAGACTGCTCTCAACAGTACGCCCAACCACGTGCAGCCTTGACCCGTGCCCTTCATAGCTTATTAAAGCTGGCCGTGAGGGGTTTTGAGGTGCCCTCAGGGATATTATTAAGGGGTTGTTCAGAGGGGTTGTTCCCGGGGGCTCTCAAGGAAGCGACGGTCCGCCCTCTCCTCAAAAAACCATCTCTGAACCCGGCCGAATTGGAGATCTACCAGCTGGTTTCCAATTTGCCCTAGTTGGGTAAATTAATTGAGAGGGCAGTGGTGATAACAGTTGCAGAGTTTTCTGGATGACACTTCTACACTAGATCCTTTCCAGTTCAGCTTCCGCCCAGGCCATGGGATGGCACTGGTCGCCCTCACAGATGATCTCCGGAGACATCTGGATCAGGGCGGGATGGCGGTGCTGTTGTTGTTGGACCTGTTGGCGGTGTTCGACACGGTCGACACGACCATCAGCTCCTAGCCCACCACCTCGCCGACATGGGGATTCCGGGGCTTGCCTTGCAGTGGCTCGTCTCCTTTTTCCAAGGTCAGAGACAAAGAGTGGCTATTGGGGAGCAGTTGTCCCAGAGGCACCCACTGATCTGCGGAGTGCCTCAAGGGGCTGTGCTGTCCCCGATGTTATTCAACATCTATATGCGCCCCCTTGCCCAGATTGCCCGGAGGCATGGGCTAGGGTGTCACCAATATGCGGATGACACCCAGCTATATCTGTTGTTGGGCGGTCAGTCCAACTCTACCCCGGAAGACCTGGACCGGGCATTAAAGGACATGGCTGGATGGCTTAGACTGAGCCGATTGAAATTGAATCCGATGAAGACAGAGGTC